ATAATAATCGTTCCATTAATGGACGTTATGATGTCAAAGCATTGGAAGTTCATGATATTTGTGTAATTTCTACACAGTTTATTATCTTGGAAAGAGGTTACTGGATATAAGGTGTTATTTAAAGTTTCAAATATTGTGATTCTTTATGTTGTCTTCTTCAAATGGTTCTTCAGTTTTAACATAAGTGAAGTACACTACAAGAAATAACAATTGGTTTTACAGTTAATTTTATTACTAAATGAGCCAAAAGGTGAGAAAATTGCTAAAGTATTAATGAACTGAATATTTCTAGAGATGAAGAAAACAAAGTGAGCAAATGAGTTCTTTGTGTTGACCCCAACACTGAGTATACTTACATCGATAAAATGGTTGTTAAAGACAAGCTTTTACGTAATACACATACAATTCTAATTTTAAATGATTGAGGGAAAAGTTGATAAAGCGTGAAATTGTTCTATGTGGTCTTAGGAGCATAACGATATCCAAAGTTATATTGTCTATGATGATAGGTGATGTTTACTGATATCCGAATCTTCAAAAAAGGGGAGGTGTTATGTCCCGATAAGCATAATGAATGGTAATTTGCGGATCCATTTATGGACAAATACTATGCGTATATTTTTATTGTATAATTGTTAAATAACTAACCTATTTATATTCATGTCCCTCTTATTATGAGCTTTATCTTGACCTATGAACTATTATTATACGATTTACCATTCTTGAGTTATGCCCTGTATATTAATAACTACCTGCCACATTCACAACCACATTTGGCTAAATCTTGTACAAATGTTATATCCTATTTTATGGTACGTTGTGGTCTGTCTGGTTGGTATATAAATCTAATATGTTTGAAATAAATGATTCATATCGCAGAGGCTGAGATTGGTGTTCTGGACTTAACAGACTGGGTTAGACAAGAAGCAGGACCGATAAGTACTCTAGACTGCTCGTACATGTTTTATGCGTCATTGGTCCAATCGATATTTCATTGCTCTCTAATTGACGGTATCATTACGTTATACATTAACAGGGCACACAGGCCACAAGTTATAACAATCAGTAGTGTGAAAGTAAGTTGAAACAAATTCAGGAGTGTCTGAACCAAGAAATGTCATCATTTCATTGAGCCATTACTTGCTGTCAATAAAAAACAATATATTTGTAATATTCCAATAAGTAGAGAAATCGAATTCCTAAATTCCCCGATTTTTCGTGATTTGATGTAAATCACTTCTTCAGAGAATAAATAAACATTAAATTAACCTGAGTTTTGATAGTACAAATGAACAAGGTGAGAATATTTAGTGCGACCAATAAAAAAATAGGTCTGACTACGTTAACATCATGTCATTCCGGAATGACATGACACACCAATCTACCCAATGCTCAATTTATTCAGATTATCAAGTCAAACCTTAGTAACGATACCTTAATTCCCTGTTGGTCCGACACATTGATAGATACAGGCTATCTGGTTAGAGTCCTCATGATAACAGCGATCTATAGTTCAAGAATTCATGTGACATGACTCAAAATCATTCAAAATGATGAATGTGCGTTTACTTTTTATTTTCCCTTAGGTTCTATCTTTCCTAGTTGCTTTAAAAAATCTATGGGATGAGTCCATATTTACCTCTTGAATCATATATTTTGTGCGTACTCTTTTATACTACCACCCATAGTGTTACCACTTAAACCATTCTGATATTTTACCATGGTGGTATAGAATAACATCTTGAATTAATGTCAGCTTATACGACACCTAGCTGACTTTCAATGTATCCTCTAACAGGTTTCATCATTACAATGACACAGATCTAACAATTTCTGTTTGGCTATGATAGTTTCGTTTCTTCTAAATCATAACATCATAGGTAAACAAAAAAAAACAAACTATATTTACGATCAATCAAATAGTGGTTACTGGATTCTTTTGGATTAGAACAAAATTACATTAGTATCTAATTCATTTAAGCTGATTGGATTGTGAACTTGGTTCATTTGTGTATGGAATTTTTCTTTTCTTTTTCTTCTGAAATTGAATGGAAATTAAGAATAAAAATGAATGAAAAGTTGACACACTAAACAAATATCAGTATGGAGGTTGTGGAGATTGTTAAATTTTTGGTTGAGATCATGAATTAATTGATGTTAGACCACCGTTGGAAACCTGGAAGCACTGGACGGCCGTTTCGTCCTAGTATGGGACTCCTCAGCAGTGCGCATCGTGGATCGTGGATGCGCACTGCTGAGGAGTCCCATACTAGGACGAAACGGCCGTCCAGTGCTTCCAGGTTTCCAACGGTGGTCTAACATCAATTAATTCATGATCTCAACCAAAAACACTAAACAAATGTCAAAAAGTATTCATTTTCACAATTACTTAATGAATAGAACTATAGAAAAGCTGATTTTGAATATGAAATAACTGAGGAAAACTTATTTCATCAAAGATGAATTTTCATCGTGAATGTACACTGCTGAGGAGTCCCACATCAGGATGAAATAGCCGTCCGATGCTTCCGGGTTTTTCATAATGGTCTAACTTCAATTGACTCACGAACTCAACTATTAAAATGCTACAATATCCGCAAAACCCATTTTCTGATTACCTTCATATTGTCGATTTTATCTAATAATCTACTTCAATACTGAAATCTTAGATTCAATTATAAATACATGGATACCTTTTTTTGAAAATGAATCTCTATAAGACTACTATGAACATTAGAAGTTGAAGCTATTTTTACTATGTTTAGGATTTAATTAACATATATTGTAGAGAATAATATTTAATTGATCTTTTTATTGGACCACATCAAACTTTTGTTCAAAGAAGATCACGATAACGGAGATCAGTCGTATTCAACAATAAGTAATCGAACTTAGCTGTAGAATAAACTACTATGAAACTGGACTGGTTCAAGATTCCTTTGAGAATCCACACAGAAAGATTATATTAAGCTTTTCAAAGAGATTTAACAATATTTATACTTTTAAATGGAGCCCATTTTAAGAGAGATATTATCACTAATTAACACGATGTACTTCGACTTAGGATGGAGCTTAGTGTCGATACTGAAAGATACCTTCAAGGTTCAGATAAATTTTCGAAGACACATTTCATAGGTTTAACGTCTGTCTATGTAATATACCCAAACAATGTGATGAAAACAAACAGAAGATAGTCAAAATTATACAGAGTTCATATGATGGATTACACTGCAAAATTGTGCATGGAGGACAGTTGACAAAGTCGTTCGAAGTGAAGACCGGTGTTATGCAAGGTTGCTTACTCTCACCCTTTCTCTTTCTCCTGGTGATCGACTGGATCATGAAGACGTCAACATCTGAAGGGAAGCGCGGGATACAATGGACATCTAAGATGCAGTTGGATGATCTAGACTTCGCAGACGATCTGGCCCTTCTATCCCAAACGCAACAACAAATGCAGGAGAAGACGAACAGTGTGGCAGCAGCCTCAGCAGCAATAGGTCTCAATATACACAAAGGGAAAATCAGGATTCTCCGATACAACACAGAATGCACCAATCCAATCAAAATTGACGGAAAAGATTTGGAAGATGTAAAAACCTTTACGTATTTGGGCAGCATCATTGATGAACACGGTGGGTCTGATGCAGATGTGAAAGCGCGGATCGGCAAAGCAAGAGCAGCATATTTGAAACTGAGGAACATCTGGAACTCAAAGCAACTGTCAACCAACACCAAAGTCAGAATTTTCAATACAAATGTCAAGACAGTTCTACTGTATGGGGCAGAAACCTGGAGAACTACGAAAGCCATCATCCAGGAAATACAGGTGTTTATTAACAGTCGTCTACGCAAAATACTTCAGATCCGTTGGCCGGACACTATTAGCAACAACGTACTGTGGGAGAGAATAAACCAGATCTCAGTGGAGGAAGAAATCAGGAAGAAGCGCTGGAAGTGGATAGGACACACATTGAGGAAAGCACCCAACTGCGTCACAAGACAAGCTCTCACATGGAATCCTCAAGGCCAAAGGAGAAGAGGAAGACCAAAGAACACATTACGCCGAGAAATGGAGATAGACATGAGAAAAATGAACAAGAATTGGATGGAACTAGAAAAGAAGGCGGAGGACAGAGTGGGTTGGAGAATGCTAATCAGCGGCCTATGCTCCATTGGAAGTAAAAGGCGTAAGTAAGTTAGTAAGTAAGTAAGAAACTTATATGGAACCCATCTAAATAACTGAAGATAATTTAGTTTAATACAAGTTTAAAAAGAGTGTAAGAGTTGCCAACATCCCCTAATAAAACTGTTTGTTTACATTTTTAGAACAACATATGGTAATTAAAAATATGTGATCTACTCGACGTTGAAATCTTTCCCGCAAAATGGAATATAGGGGTTCTTTTCTCCAGTAACAAATATTTTCATATTTCTAAGCCTTATCTTTTATTGTCTCCTCGTTTGTGATAAAATCGGAAACAAGTCGTGGATCTTACACAATCAGTTGATATATAAATAAGTCGTTTGATTTACTGAATCATTTACCCTAATTTTGACTCTAGACAGAAATCCTTTTGTTTTTTGTAGATTATATACAAGAAATTACGAAGGAAACTATTTATCACTACAGCTGTGTATGTTATTCACGAGTAGTAAGCAACACAAGATTACCACCTCTATGTTATTATGTCAGCCAATTTGACTATGCATAAATATATGTAATTTGTAAGTAGTCTTAGTCAGAACATTTGAATTACAGCTTCCAACACAATCTTTGTCTTTGCCTTCGCCTTCTGGAGAGTTGTAATGACCAATTGTAGATTAGTCGAGTTGGACCGTATATCACAATTAAATAAAAAAAATCGAGATTCTGAATTAAAAAGTACCTATTTCAAGTAATCACCTTCAGAAAAATTATAAATGACTTAGGGTTTGGTAATAAATACAGAAAGTGTATTGAAATTATAGATGTCTATACTGAACGTGTATCTAATAACTCATTTTAATGGATTATGCCGAAAGACATAAAATGCTACAGTAAAAAATTCAACTTCTTTAGTGAGACAATAACATACTTTTGATCTTTTATATACACATAACCACAGAGCACACATTAGACTTAGAAAAAGGATCGCTAATGCAGTTGGCATTAAAATGAACGAGTATAAAGGGAGACTGATACCACTTTTGTCTAGATTCCTATTATTCCAAATAAATGATGGAAGTTGGTTAGTTCGAAATCCATTTGTCGTGGTTTTAGAGTTTAATGAATTTGTTGTTGATAGTTCAGGAGTTGTTTTTGTATAGTTTGTAAAGCTGTAGTTAGGAAAAATATTTGAATAATACTCAGTGGTTCGCATGCTGCTCAGACCATGCTCCTCTTTGTACACTGAAATGGTTGACACTTGACACTTTGTAGTGTTCTGAAAAAAAAATATCATTGGATATGATAAGAACTTCTCAAGTCCATTCCTTATATCATACGATTCATCTCACAGAAATCAACCATACTTTATGCACAGCTTAAAAACCTGGATCGTGGATGCGCACTGCTGAGGAGTTCCACAATAAGACGAAACGGTCGTCCAGTGCTTCAAGGTTTTCACTGGTGGTCTAACACCAATGGGTTTATGATCTCAATCAATAAAAACCAAAAGTTTATCTTAAAAATTCACGAATTGTGTAAGTGTTCAATAGGTATTACGCTAATAAATTGCATGATTCCTATTCATTTCATTTTCATATTTCGTTATCAAAATGTAGAAGATGGACTAAGTGTTTGAAATACCTAGAATATCATTTTTTTTTTCGTAAGCAAGTAACTGCTGATGGATACATAATCAGAGAGCTTGTACTCTCACTGGACTATAAAGCTAAAAGGTGCTGAAGGTATTATGTACTAGATTTCTCAATATTCATAATTCTAAATATTATTTTAAACAAATATTTTATTGGTAAATTTTGTAAACAGTGGAGTATAACCTTTGAGGTACAAATGTTCATTCTGGAACTTTTTTCTCACATACTGTTAAAGATTCTAAAAACACATTTACCAAAGTACCTAAACACTTCGTTTTTTCTCCCAATACAAAGTGAAAAATATACTGTAAATCCCCTGTAGTTTTGTTATAACTTGAAAAAGCTGATTTTTCTTGATACAACCGCGTATAACTGAGCACTAGAACACCAAACCCTTCCAAGTCGCAATAAGAAGACAGAAGACTAACGAAAGGAATATTATTCCAAACAGTGTCAAACATAGTACAAAATTATCAGGTATTTATAGTTTTTAGTGAGAACAAAATCATCATTACAGTCTTCCAATCCGCGTACAGGGGGTTATTAGCATTATCCAATGGGGAAGCTACACGTTGGAATTCTAGAACAATCTTCCAAAAAGTGATTGGATGAAACGTTTTCGGCTCCTTCTGAGCCTCTTACGGCTTCCTCGAGTTCACCGGTGGTCAGTCGTCACAAGTTTGACACTTGTTAATTTTTCCAGTGATTTAAACATAGTAGACTATAGATTTATCTATTATTTTCCTACCATGTAGTGGATGTGCTTCGTTAACCAATCAACCTAGTAATCGTTATAATATAAACCTCAACGGTGTTTGAAATAAGAAAGCAAAGAGAAGCAGCGACTACAGTTTTATTAGCAGATAGCTCAGACCACAAAGCAGAGAGAAGAATGAGTGAGTTAGCGATTCGAATGTGTATAGGATTTAATGTATATGTATATCGAATCAATTAAGCAACTAATAGTAAAGCTAGCAGGATGAATCTATGCGTAGGCAGTATGCAATGCTCAAGCATACATGTTCATACATTCGCAACAGTAATCAAGATAATATGCTACAGATAAGTTGTTGTTGTCGTACAGATGACTCAGTGTCCGTTAAATAAGTTAATAACTTAACAGAATTAATTGTGAACAAACTCAATTGCACGTGACTTGCTATACATCGCCTTGGATAACGATTTCTATGTTCTTGTTACTTCAAACTACACGATAAGTTAAGGTAGATTTGTGAAGATGAATACACTAATGTTCAACAAAATGCAACTAATTTTTCAAAACTTACTTTAATATAACAGTTTTTTAACATCCATAATGGCCTGTGGATATCGAACCCATGACTACATTTATTGACAATTGGACACCAGTAACATTTTTCATTTAAAGTGGATGCTTTAATACATGTCTCACAAAGTTCTTGCTCTGAACAAACTTTCAGGGAGAGAACAGAATAATTAGACATTAATTGAGTCGTTAGAGAAAAACAAATAAACTCATATTACTTAAGTCAATATTAAATCATCTGGATAATTTATAATTACTTGACTTGTGACGATATCGGCTTCCATGAGAGATAGAATTCGTGTCCGTGAATTTCCGGCACATCCGTCTCACAATGTTCAATATGTGTGCAATATCAAGCTTTCTTTGGCATTTTTCTGTTCCGTTAGTGAGTGAGTGCTGAATATGAAAGTACAATTTCCACCGGAGATTTTATTTTAAGCTCTAACTCACACTTTACTTACTTTCTACATCCCGTTAGTTGGAATGTACTGTAGTAGCGTGTTCACAGAAAACATGAGCAGATAGCTTTAGATGAGTGAACTGAAATCGTGCTCTTATATGCAGCAATCACGCACTAAATGAGTGGAAAAATATTCGAAAGTGTTAGATTTTTACTTTTATCGAACATTAGAAAAATGATGGTTAATCTCACACTTCTAACATTGTTGAAGTAAATCTAAGAAAACTGATGTCGACGGTGATTAGCTGATAACTATAGTTAATAAGATAATTGACTATTTTTATACTGTAGCTGTTGTTCGTTATGGGTTTTTCTTACGATTAAATTGTGGTTGATCGCTTGTACTCTGAGTGGATAAATTACTGTCATATCAAGATGTTGAAAAAAAACAGGTCGAGAAAAGAAAAAAAGTGTTCAGTTAGTTTCTTACTAAAGAGTAAGTATGTAGATACATTGTTAAATTAATTTTACAGATTGAAATCATGAGTCAGTTGAAGCTAGACCACCATTGAAAACCTGGAAGCACTGGACGGCCGTTTCGTCCTAGTATGGGACTCCTCAGCAGTGGTCTAGCTTCAACTGACTCATGATTTCAATCTGTGAAATTTCTAAAATCTCCACAAAACCCATTCGGAAATTAATTTTAGTCTTAATCGTAAAACTTGTGTATTATTACAAACTCTTGATGAAGAATCAACTTAAACGAGATATTTCTTCGTTTGACTTGTTTTATTGAATTATTGTCTGTCTAATCTGGTTCTCAATTTTCAGTCAGATATTACGCATGTTTACGTGTGATCTAATATAATGATCTATCTAGTGAACTGATTGAATATCCAGTCTATTAACCAGTTTATTGTTTGTGTACTCATCCTATTACACGACCGGTGACAAATAGCAACACTTTGTTTTCTTGGTTATATCAAGAACTTCAATTGTTTTTGAGTAGTTCAAAGATACTCATTCTGTAAGTTTGAAATAATTTACAATTTAAGTGTATCGTTATAAATGAAAATATTAAAAGAATAAATTTAATAGTTGAGTTCATGAGTCAATTGAACCTAGATCACCATGGAACACATGGAAGCACTGCAAGGGCGTTTCGTCCTAGAATGAGACTCCTCAGCGTTTTCGCGCGAAACCAATCGGCCCTGGGTTCAACTCTTGCTAGGCGAGTTCGTGGATGCGCACCGTTAACTTCGATTGATTCATGAACTCAACTATTAAATTGCTATAATATCCACAAGAACCCCTCTCTGATTAAAAGAATAAATATTAACGGTTTTTATCAACTAACCACTTCTAATTTTAATGTAATTTTAGTGAATATCTTGTTCGGTATTATGAAAGTGAATTATTTCATTTCATTGAAATTAAATTTTTTTGTTTCTTCTAGGTAACCCTAAAGTAATATTTATTCCAAGAACATTGTAGATTACTATTTATTAATGTAATTAATGATCATTGAAATAATTATACAACTTTTACCTACCTTAAGACTCTTCAAACTGAAAATTGTTTACACAGATTGAAATCATGAGTCAGTTGAAGCTAGACCACCATTGAAAACCTGGAAGCACTGGACGGCCGTTTCGTCCTGGTATGGGACTCCTCAGCAGTGCGCATCCACGATCCCGCACCACCCGGGGCTCGAACCCGAGACGTACTGGCTTCGCGCGCAAGTACTGAACCATTAGACCACTGAGCTGGCCGGCATCCAACGGTGTTAATGTCTAACTTCAACCAATCCACGAAGTTGCGCTACCGTACACCATTGTCTTCAGTGAGTTCCTATCTCACAACAGACCTGGTTGAACTCCACTGGTGACGGCTTCTCACTAGAAATCCAGAAGTGTCTCCTGAAGTCAGTCACTAGTGAGCAGATGATTATTATTATCAGAATGTGTTTTGTGGAGATTTTTAGAAATTTTCACAGATTGAAATCATGAGTCAGTTGTTTAGTCATAAAACGAATATAATTAATAGTTGCATAGGCAATAAATTGCTTAGTAACCATTTTGATAACCCTTCAAAATGAAGCATTACTATATTAAAGGATCAATATTTCTTTTGTTGTGTTAAATGGGATACTGTTAAAAAATGTGAATTTATTTACTTGTATTTGGAGCGAATTCAACCAACGTCCCAGATCTTATCATGATTTTCGGAGTTTTAATATTACTGTACGATGTTTTAATGATGTATAGTCCAGCTATACGAAAGTAAATGCAAAATTTTAGGTAAAAAGAAAAAAATTAGATGAATTTACACGGTTTAAATCTAAAAACTGTTTTACTTTGAATGAAATTCAAGATGGAATTTTTTTTTCCATCATACAGCATAGAATTTCATGATTCTTACAACTAGATTATCATGGTTCTCTTCAATAGTAACCTACAAAACGTCATAATTCTTTTTTTGTCCAAAATGCATATGTCTTACCTTTTCTATAGAATATCAAGAACGTTTTATTGCTCAGACCTTATGAGAAATTTGACAAACATTGTAAACAATAACTAGTATAGGGGTTGTGGAGATTATTAGGTTTTTGATTGAGATCATGTACCGATTGATGTTAGACCATCACAATTGAAAACCTGGAAGCACTAGACGGCCATTTCGTCCTAGTATGGGACTCCTCAGCAGTGCGCATCCACGACCCTGCGAGCGGGATTCGAACCCAGGGCCTTCGGTCTCGCGCGCGAACGCTTAACCAACTGGACCACTGAGCCGGCATCCAATGGTGATAGTTTCTAACATCAACCAATCCACGAAATTGCGCGACCAACTTCCGTTGTACTGAGGTAGATACCTGTCTCTACCCGACAAGGATTGTAAACAATAGTTATTTTATACCATACTAATATAACTACTGTATATAATGAATGGGTTAGTGCAGTTGTCAGTTTTCATTCTAACTATCTTACTCCTGTAAATACACTACTGTGAATACGATTTATTTTAGTGAAATTGAAAACTTAATTGGTTAAAATTGTTCTTCACATGGTCACCAGATAAAAGATTAATAAGTAAAATTATAATTAACTGAATATTCATTGAATTAACCAGAAATATTCATATTTGCCATTAAATGAGGATTATTTTATATCATGAGTTAACTAGTTTAAGTTATTTTAGACAAAATATGTAAATCTCACTTGCATTATATGTAGCATAATCATAACCATCTGTAATACTTATTTTCCCTCCATTGTTTCCAAATTCTGTTGGTATCTGGAGAGAAAGAACAATATGAAACAATGAAGAATATTTTGTGGTGTGAGCTACTTATATTGATATGAGTAGTATATAACGTCAGTTAAAAGAACATGATGTCTGGCAGCAGAAACTGGAGAAGATCAAAAAAAGAAGAGCGAAAACACAATGGAATTTGTAAGAAAACGCATGAACGCATCTATACCCACTAACCTTTAACCTCATCCAAAAAAATATTCGTAATACATTGTAGAAACAACGTCTACTTAAGATGGAATGAGATTTGTATCAGAAGTAACGTCATTAACTTGTTCCATTGAACAAGCAAAGACTATAAGCAATTGATACCAAATGAAAAAGAGAGTTTTAAGTAATCAAAGGATTTTAATTAAACTAACAATAACTACAAATCTCTAAAATTTCGTCTAATTCAGCTTATATTGCCACATATTCAATTTCAAAGTTTACGCAACGGTCTGACATTAGTAAGGGGACTACTAGAAATACGAAATCACTGTATACATCAGTCAGTCAGTCAGTAACAACACAGAACTTCGTACGTACGTACATCAGTTCGAGTTGCCACACCACATTAGCACAGAGATGCAGTTGTCGATTCAAATCCCATAGTGGTAGAGGTAGCAAGAGTATAAGCAGTAATCGGGAAGATTAGGGTTTGGAGATGTTATTTAAAGAGTATAATACAGTGAAATATATTTGGGAAGAGGGAAAAAGGGACATGAAGAATACAGAAGATTAGAATTTGGGAGAATATAAAAAGTGGATGTACATGCGCCATTGCATACGATTTTGAACCATTTCATTCAAGGTCTCTAATCATCGGTGGCTATCATCTCGCGGTCCCCAACCAGGTAGTCTACACCTACCAACATGACTCAGTTCACTTGTCAGTGACTTCATGGACTTGTGCCATGTTTTGGTTTGGCCGCCCCTAGCTTTCTTCCAACCTACTCCTATACCACTGAACATCGCACGTCGAGGCAGTCGGTCGTTGGGCATACGTAACACGTGTCCCAGTCATCTCAACTGATGAAGTTTCACTACTTCATCAATTGATTTGCCATCCTTAACTATTACCCGTTTCCTAACAACTGAGTTACTTACTCGATGGTCCCATGATATACAAGCAATGTTTCGAAGACACCTATGATCAAATACTAGTAGCCTACGAATATCATCTACTCTTACCGGCCATGTTTCACTGCCATAAAGTAGGACGGAACGAACTGCTGCGCAGTAAACACGTCCTTTGGTTGATAGACGGATATCTCGCCTACGCCATAAATGACGCAAGTTGGTAAAAGCTAGTCGAGCCTTCTGTATCCGTCACACACCAGACCACAAGGGCTGATGAGACTTCCAAGATAAGTGAAGCGGTCGACACACTCAACTACTTCATTCCCTATCACTAGTTCGGGTGTCAATGCAACCCAATCCTGAAGCAACATTTTGCATTTCGAGGGAGAGAATCGCATCCCGAACATGCTTGCATTGTTGCTTAGAGTGGTCAGAAGACTCTGCATTTTGTCAGCGTCTTCACCAAATAGAACTATGTCATCAGCATATTCTAAGTCAACAAGTGAACCTCCTGTATGCATCATTCATCCTAGTATGGGATTCGCTCGAAGTACACACCCAGAGTTTGTATCTCAGTTGGAAAGCTAAGAATATTCATTGTGTATTCAGAATCAGTTCATTTATGTATCTACTTTACCACAATTGCTATAACAAACTAATTATTTACCAACCGTACTAACGTATCAGTCGAAAAACTACCTTGTTTTATACTTAATAACAGATATCACTAAAAATTGTGAAACAGATTTAATCATTGATAAGTATTTCTCTCTGTGAAGAGAAATGTGCACTAAACACGAACTATTAGTCTTGAGACAATTTTACACAAAAAACGGAACTGGTTAAAAAAATTCAATAAATCACAGTTTAGTCTATTCACGTTTCGTGTTGGTTGAAACAAATTGCTATAACAATAAATTACATTTTGATTTTGATTCAGGTATAATTTTGATGTCAAATTTTTATATTAACGACGCCGTTAAAATGGAACATAATTCAAAACAACACTTGCTTGTTGTACTTTATTTATGACCGCTTGACTACTTACTACTTACTACTTACAAATATGTGACAATGTCTAATGATGTTTTCAAGTTGGTTAATAGTTGAGAATAGGAGATAATTTTTATGAACTTTCAAACTTGTTAGTCAAATCTATTTCAGAATGTAGATAAGTTTGCTTTAGTGAAGGGCTAAAGAAGTTATGCAACCATATACTGTCCAGTTTAGGGGTTGTGGAGATTGTTAAGTTTTGATTGAGATCATGAACCGATTGATCTTAGACCACGATTGAAAACGTGGAAGCACTGGACAGGCGTTTTGTCCTGTTGTGGGACTCTTCAGCAGTGCGCATCCACGATGCCGCGAGCGGGATCCATCTTCGTTTCAGTGTTTCTTTATAATGCTTATGGAATAAGGGGAAATCAACTGAACACTTAACTTACATGTACGAATCAAAAATTATTTTATATTTAAATTTGTCAGTTAATTTATTCTATTATTTTACCAGTATCTGCTAAATTTCCCATTTAATCCTCCTTCATGTTTTGAGAGAAGACCATAGTGTGCAGCGTGGGACTATGAAAGATATCAGCAAGACTAATGGCACATATTATGTTTGTGAAGAGTTTTAAACTATTGAGTGCAGATGGTTTGTATATATTACAGCCACTGCTAGTCTCATTCATAAGTTATTTTTTTTATTGTTCTCTGACAGAATAGAGAGCAAGTAGATAAAAAAATTTACCCACATAAAGCTAACAAAAACGTCCTATCTGGAAATACTCAATACTATTAGTCCAATACTGCATATTCATTGCATAATGTATTAATGAACAGTTTGACTTACCTTCTCAAAGTAAACTGATATATTTCCATTGGAGTATATAATGCAAGCCACTATGGCTGAAATGAAATATTAGTAAAGTTGAAGGTTTACATGATCTATTCTTTAAAATGAATTAAATCAATTACATAATAGACACTGATATTTTATTATCTATTCTCTCTACAATACATATCTGACATATCAACGAATTTCGTAGTCAGAGACATAATCGTTTTCATCGAATTTAAAGAATAAATGATTATGGCCAATAGTGGCCCTTTATACAAATTCGACCTTTGTTACCTTTCAATGTAGGTATTCTTATTTGAAATTTTCACAGATTAAACTCATGAGTCAGTTGAAGCTAGACCACCATTGAAAACCTGGAAGCACTGGACGGCCGTTTCGTCCTAGTATGTGACTCCTCAGCAGTGCGCATCCACAATCCCCCCCCCGGGGCTCGAACCCGAGACGTACTGGCTTCGCGCGCGAGCACTTAACCATTAGACCACTGAGCCGTCATCCAACGGTGTTAATGTCTAACTTCAACCAATCCACGAAGTTGCGCTACCGTACACCATTGTCTTCAGTGAGTTCCTATCTCACAACAGACCTGGTTGAACTCCACTGGTAACGACTTCTCACTAGAACTCCAGAAGTGTCTCCTGAAGTCAGTCACTAGTGAGCAGGTGATTTGAATTTGAAATTTATTGACCACAACGTTTATCATTGTTATCAATGTTGTCATTTCGAATTCTAACGTCACTTTAATCAATCGTCACATATGATGTCTTAGCAACAATATTAAATTACCATATTTCTTATTTATGAATATAATATTTTAGTATTAGTGATTTTCCTGTTAGATAAACTCAGTTTTAATACCTAAACTTTTTTCTATTTATCATGCTTGCGGAAGCCATCGCAATCCATATTCACAAACCTGACCTTTACATTCAAAAGAGATTCGTACAACCACTTTCTCTGCCCTGGCCATCAGTTTAAGATTTCCTTCAAAAGAACTACTTTGCATACTTCTTCCATTTTTTTTAATTTCTGTTGCTTTTGAACTTAATAACTTCTCAACATTCATCTCTTGAATCTTACGTAACTACCATCCTATTGACCATCCGTTAAAATTCTGTTCTTTCTTTGTTTCTTATATTACGCAACGTAGCAACTTCTTGATCACTTTGATTATTAATAATCCTCTTTCTTCCAATGAATCAATGTTAATTTAAATGTCATTATGTAATGATCATTACGTAAAGTATCCACTCGATGAGTATTATATCCTTAGTGTAAATCCTACTTATGTATATTAGTGTAGAGCAATGATGAAAAGAAATTTCATCGCTCAATTCGTTCCTTCTTTATTTAAAATTTTTTTTATTTAGATGCATCCTATCTGTTTTCATATATTTTTGTAACCATGGTAATAATGTTAGCAAAATTGCCGAATTTATTCAATCTCACCATTAAAATAACAGTAAATCTGAAAGGATTATTATTTATATCACAGAGATGATCAGAAAATTATATTCTCCGGGTTGATTGTTCAAGTGAAATCCTTATCGGAAATGAAATACTATCATGCAATGAGAAGACATAGTTTATCAGAATTATGTGATGATAGATTTGGGCAATACATTTCGAACAATCTGATCACACATCATCTACTTGTTAAGAACATTTATATATGAAAAATTAAAAGGTCAACTTAAAGGATATAAATATAAAGACAACGACAATGTGCTCCTCTTAGGTAAACCATTGATATTTTGTGTGACTTTATTTCTTCGGAAAATCTTCCACTGCCTTCTCCTGTTAAAACTCTTAAAGATTTATTATTATTATTATGTACAGATGATGTAAAATTCATATTTGAAGGTGAACACTTCAGACAAATAGATGGTGTAGCTATGGGCAGCCCTCTAGGACCATTGCTAGCTGATGTGTTCATGGGATATGTGCAAAAATTTAGTTGGAGACTCAATTCGAAAGATGGGTCTGTATAAACGATATGTAGACGACATAATAATCATAGGTGATAAAATTGAAGACATAAGCCACTTGTTAGAAGAATTCAATAGTAGTCAAAACCACTTCCTATTCTTGACATCCTGATTACTAGGAGAGATGATGGTTCCATCAAACGTGCTGTATATAGAAAACCAACATGGACAGGACAATATCTTAATTTTTATAATCACTGCCCCATTCATTATAAACGTCGTTTAATAAAGAGCTTATTCAATAGAATCAATCGTATTTGTACTAGTGATACTATTGAAGTAGAGATGAAGTTCTTGGCTGATGCGTTAATCAATAATGGTTACCCTTTGAACTTCATAAACCGCTGGAACGGTTGCAATATGACTAGACCTATGACGCTTCTGGCACCCAAAAAGCGAGTTTATATTATGCTACCATTCAGGGGTGACAAAAATAGTCTCATGTTGAAACAGAGACTTAAATTAGCTATCAACCGGACATTTTATGCAGCCCAACTTGTCATTATCGAAAAGACAAGGTCTATGTTTCACCAAAAGCCCAAACAGCATGAAAACGATTGTGTCACATCCCATTGTGTCTACAAATTTACATGTATGTGTGGAAACACGTACGTAGGGAGGAGCAATCGTGATTTGCAATTAAGGGTGGGTGAGCATATACCAAAATGGTTGCAAAATCAGATGAATTCCAATGGTGAAATAAGACCACAGAATAGACAGACATCATCATCCATTGCGAAACATTTGATTGAGACGGGTCATAAGGTTGATATCAAATCAGCATTTGTTGTGTTGTACCAAAGCCTTCAAGGACGTATACTAAGGTTTATTGAAGCCCCTTTATGTGTTCAAAAACAATTTGTACTTACACTTAACCTACCCTGGTAGTACTGATTTACTATGCAGAGTGGTAATCACATTTGTTTTTGTGTACTTTAATATTTTTTCCTTTGTTGTTATGACTTACCCTTAACCTGTCTAGTTGACCTTTTAATTTTTCATATATAAATGTTCTTAACAAGTAGATGATGTGTGATCAGATTGTTCGAAATGTATTGCTCAAATCTATCATCACATAATTCTGAAAAACTACATCTTCTCATTGCACTACCGAAATTTATCAAAGGGACTAATTGTTATGAAATACTATCAATCATACTTTTGAGTGAGAATCGATATTTGGCGGTTGACAACATGGACTGTACTTATTATCAAACAACGAAAATTTCTAATGAGAACGCTTTTTTTTCCAGTTTATTATTAAAATTATAATCGGTATTTAACTTTGCTTTATGAACTGTTAGTTGATTAATTTAATTTTCATGGGGGGCAACTGTGACTTTAGTTTTTTCTGTAGAATAATGTGCAAACATCCAAGTTGAAATTGAAGTGAACTGGTAGTCTATACTCCATTTTACTTCATTTAATCAAGTTTACTTATTGAAATACTAAATGAGTACAGACAGTTTGAGAGATTAAACGTTTAATTATTTCCTTGAACATGTTCATATAAAACTGGAGTAAAACTATGGTCTGGAATGTCTTGATAAGAAGTCAACAGATCAAAAAGACTGTATTTCCGTAAACTAATGTAACTTCTTACTTTTTCCCTAACTATCCTCATAAAACGATGTTTAGTTTTGAACGGATCAAAAAATAGGCTACATTTTAGTAATAAACTGAACAACTTACCATACTCTTCCGGTTCATCATCATGCAAAGTAGAAATACTTAAATTAATCCATTTGATAGCCAAAAATTTGTCTGAAAATTGAAAAATTACGTTATTTTCTTCATTATCTTGATACATGTAACTGTATATGAAATTAAGTTCCTCCAAAGATAATGGTGATTTGTTATTTAATTAAAATAACAACTCTTTATTTTGACTATCAATTAAAGGACGAGTATACTGCGCAGCAGTTCGTTCTGTCCTACTTTATGACTGCGAAACTTGGCCATTAAGATTAGAGGATACTCGTAAGTTATTAGTATTTGATCACAGATGTCTTAGAAATATTGCTCCCATCTGTTGGCATCACCGGGTAAGTAATAGTGAGGATAGACGGAGGGTGTAGGGGAATGATGGGAAATCAGTTGACGAGGTTGTGAATCTACATCGAATGAGATGGTTGGACCAAGTAGTATGCATTGCCAGACACCTATCGCCACGACGAGCAATGTTAACTAGTGTTAGTATTGGTTGGAAGAAACTTAGAAGCGGTCAAACTAAAACGTGGCATCAGTGCTTGAAGCCACTAACTTCTAGTCTGAGCCACGTTGGTAGAATCAGACTACTTGGTTGGCGTCCTCGCGACTATCGTAACCAATGTTTGGAGACTCTGGGTGACATGGCTCAGAATCGATCACAATGGCGTAAGTGTATACACTCATTTTCTTCCCTTAAACCGTGAGATTAAAATTACTTCATACCTTTCTTTCCACGAACTAATTCTTTCTCCCTATATCATATCCTTACATGATATGCTTTTTAAATACCAATACTATTGAAGTAACTGCTTCCATGAATTTGGTGTTCATCTTGTTGTACTATTGAGGTTTGGCAACTTGAACTGTTGCATAATATGCCTGGTCCTACGTTGTAGCTGACTGACTGGTTGTTACTTTGACAAAGATTAACTTAGTTTTGTAACAATCTTGTCATATATATTTATATTTACGATCTCTAAAACAGTTGTTAGGATGATTTCATCACGTATAAAAATATCGCTTAGAATAAAAATATGAAATTACTTAGTGATGAAAGAAGGATACTGAGTAGTGAAAAGTATACTAAAGAAACACACTTGGAATCCCTTATATAAATGAAACTTAAAGTTCAAGGAAAGTCATTTCGGCGTTTGTGGTCGATTTGTTTCGACAAAATTTTAATCGAAATATAACTGAATAACTGAATTGAGGAAATATTTAACTCGACCTCGAAATTCTTTTCCAAAATTGTCATTGATAATTTCTTCATCAGATCTTCTTTTGATATAAAAGTGAGCTGGGTAGTTTAATTGTAAAGCTTTCACTTGTATTCTGTATGACGCCAGTAGATGCTATTTTAAATAGGAGTGAGCGTTTGAATTCATTAAACAATTACCAAATTGTTCGTTCTGATGATTCTCTCAGTGATTGGTTATCTTCAAAGACTTTTTTTTATCTTCTTATGTACTGGGTTTCCACTGAATATTGTGTTAGGTTTGTGCTCGACAATATGTTTCGTAAATTTAACAAAATGAGATGAACGTGTGTACAATTAATGTCTAATAAGGCTGGAACACTATGACACGTTTATTAGGTGTAAAATTAACAAAAATCGGTTTCTTCATACTTCTGGATGAATCAGTACCTATAAATTTGCTACAAAGTAAGCTAAGAAAATCTGTCTACTGCTCTAGAAACATATGTAGAAGATTCAAGACAGATCACATTTAAAAATAAATCTCGGAAATTATTAGCAGAATTCTGAGATACTAAGATTCCGAATAACTGATAAGCCAACAATATCAATCTGTCACATCTTAAGTAGACTATAGGAAACAGTTGTAAATAAAGACCTATCCAATACTATTTATAAGGTTAATTGTATCAACTTCAGTAGGTACTGTACTTAAGAAAAAGGAAGTCTTTCACAGCAAAACTTTCAAGGATATAGGTTTGTAATGAAGAGACATAGCACTTTATAAAACACATTAATGCATATAGACATCTAGAAGCCAAGCTTTGACTGAAAAAAATGGCAAAATGAATGATTGATGAAACTTTGAAAATGACAGTGGATTTCCGTACATGAAAACAATCTGACCTTTGAGGATGACCAATCAAATAGTGATTTAACATCTGTAGAATGAAGCTAAAAATTTTACTTTTATTTAAGAAAGCTGTTTATGCCATAGTACTGGATGAAAATGAATGTTTTTGAGTTAAACCATCCATCTTAGTTCACCACTGTAAAACTACTCCAAATGAATTATCGTTTCACACTGAACGTCTTATTGAAAAGCCAATAACACAATAAGTGTTGTGAAGCAGTCATATAAACCATATCATTTTGAATGAGCATTTAATTTATGATTTACTCAAGTCACTCTTGCTTTCAATGTTTGTAGAAGGATATTTTATATTTTGTAATGAAGTCTATGGCGATATGAGTAAACTCCATATCAGATCAATAAAGTTACTAAAAATAAATGTGAAAACAATTTATGGGAAAGAGAGACTAGCGGGATAATTATGGTTTTACATAAATTACGTATATAGTGACTAGATTAACAACTACAGTTTCGTTGTTCTTGTGATGTTTTGTGATTATCTGTATTACTGAATATAAAAAGCTCGTTTTGGTTTCGTTTCTTAAAACTAAAAGTGACGTATAATTAGTTATTGCTTTGCAATTTATTGTTGTCGTTAGAAAATGTCTGGAAGAAATACGTAAACAGGTCATTAGGACACTTGATATCGTGAATAAGCTGAGAAAGCTTACTAGTATTCATGATCTCCACTCCACCATCTTTATCCATCCCATTAAAAACTTCAATTTTTTTCATTGCTCCAGAATGACGAAATGATTTTCCAATACCCACGATTCCTTAATTAAGATAAAAACACACATCAAAGATGGAAAACTGTTCGATGGACTAATAATAAGAAACATAATGTAAAAATACTCTTTGTTTAATGTATTCGGCACACAAAATGAACGATAATACATTTCATCTATAAACGAACACCAATAACCTATAAACTGATTGGTGTGAAATTTCTTTAAACTATATTTTCGTCAGGACAAAGGAATGATGATTGCAATTGTTAGAACTCATCAGTGTGGAAGTAATGTATTCAATTGCAATGACAGACTGCTAATAAATTATACGTTCATAGAAAGTGATGAGATAATGGGGACGATATATAGCCGAAGTGGATGATTTTGGAGGAATTGTATTTTATGAAACTCCACCTGTAGCTCTTATAGGGTTACTGCCGGTCCCAAGCCCGGGTAAAGGAGGAGGGTTGGACATGGGGTTAGCGTCCCCATCCCGTAGAAAACTAACTCGCTAAAAAACGCTAACCAGAAAAAATTATTCAAACCTTTTAAACTCTGCCCTGGGAGTTAGAAGGTCTTCATTTAGAAGAATTATGACGCTTCATGGTGAAAGCCGAGATCCTTCGGAAGCCACGAGGACGATGCCCCTTCTAACAACCAGAGCAAAAATTTTTATAGGTACATGGAACGTTCGAACAATGTGGGAAACCGGGAAGACCAGTCAAATAGCAATGGAAATGAGGAGATACAACTTAGGAGTACTGGGAATCAGCGAAACCCACTGGACCCAAGCTGGACAGAAAAGGCTAGCTACGGGAGAGATGCTGCTATACTCCGGTCACGAAGAGGAAAATGCTCCACACACTCAGGGAGTCGCTCTTATGCTGTCCAAAGTAGCACGAAATGCACTTGTAGGATGGGAGTCTCACGGATCCAGAATCATCAAAGCATCATTCAAAACAAAGAAGCACTGAAATCAGACATCGAGGCAACCACAAGCATGCTTTATCTTCTATTCAAAAAGATTTGGGAGGAGGAACAAGTGCCGATGGACTGGAAAGTGGGACACCTCGTCAAGATTCCAAAGAAAGGAGATCTGAGCAAATGTGAAAACTACAGAGGCATTACACTACTGTCAATAAAAGGGAAGGTCTTCAACAGGATGTTGCTGAACCGGATGAAGGATGCAGTAGACGCCCAACATCGAGATCAACAAGCTGGATTTCGTAAGGATCGATCGTGCACAGACCAAATTGCAACACTACGGATCATCGTCGAACAATCAGTTGAGTGGAACTCGTCACTATACATCAACTTTATTGATTATGAAAAGGCATTTGACAGTGTAGATAGGAGGACATTATGGAAACTTCTTCGACACTACGAAGTTCCTGAGAAGATTGTCAATATTATCCGGAACTCATACGACGGACTACAGTGCAAAGTAGTGCATGGAGGACAGCTGACAGATGCATTTCAAGTGAGGAACGGAGTCAGGCAGGGCTGTTTACTCTTCCCCTTCATCTTTCTTCTGGTGGTCGACTGGATTATGAAGACCTCGACATCTGAAGAAAAACACGGAATACAATGGACAGCTCAGAATCAATTAGATGATTTCGACTTCGCACATGACCTAGCCCTCCTATCACGTACATACGAACAAATGCATATGAAGACAGCCAGTGTAGCAGCAGTCTCTGCATCAGTAGGCCTCAGCATACACAAAGGGAAAACCAAGGTCCTCAAATTCAAAGCGGAAAACAGCAATCCAATCACTCTTGATGGCGAAACTCTGGAAGATGTAGAATCCTTCACATACCTAGGAAGCATCATCGATGAACAAGGAGGCTCAGATGCAGACGTAAAGGCGAGGATCGGCAAAGCAAGGGTCGCATTCCTACAATTGAAGAACATATGGAACTCAAAACAACTTTCAACCAATATCAAAGTGAGAATCTTCAATACGAACGTCAAGGCAGTTCTACTGTATGGAGCAGAAACTTGAAGAACTACAACAACCACAATCAAGAAAGTACAAGTATTTATAAATAGCTGTCTACGCAAGATACTTAACATCCATTGGCCGGATACCATCAGCAATAGCCTTCTGTGGGAGAGAACAAACCAACTCCCAGCTGAAGAAGAAATTAGGAAAAGACGATGGAAATGGATAGGACATACATTACGCAAATCATCAAACTGCATCACGAGACAAGCCCTGACTTGGAATCTTGAAGGAAAGCGAAAAAGAGGAAGGCCAAAGAACACATTACGTCGGATAATAGAAGCAGATATGCAAAGGATGAATTACAACTGGACGGAGCTAGAAAGGATTGCTCAGGACAGGGTCGGATGGAGATTGCTGGTGAGCGGCCTATGCTCCTTGACGAGGAGTAACAGGCCTTAGTAAGTAAGTAAGTGTATTTTATGAGCTGGATAATTTAATCGTGAACCTCAGAATTCAAGTTAGCAGTATATCCAACAAACATTAAACAGTTCATCGTTTAAATGTTTCTTCGAACAATTTCAGATCATTGATTAAGTATATGATGTTATTATTTACCTCAAATTATTACATGTGTACCGAATCGAATTACTGACGTCAATGTTTACCACATCGTAGCAGATATCAATTATATCGATTAAGCACTTCTAGAGTATTATTAGATAGTAAATGAAACAAATCATTCACCGTAACACAACTAACCACAAATGAAAGTTCAAGTTGAACTACTTTAAAATGGATATGATTTAGTGAATTTTTTTCTTTAAAAAAAAATAAAATGTTTATCACTTACCTTTAGATAGTATATTCACTGAATTATATTGCATACCATAATATTTTATTGGGAATAAAGTATTCACACCCTATACATTGAATGAATAATTCATTTGACAACCAAATACAATAAAGTAATTTACCAGATATGATATTGCAGGTATTAAACTTTTATTAAATTTATTAAATACAACTGGAGACAATTGATCGACTCTAATCAATTGTGTATAATAATAATGATAAGACTAGTTTGTTTACAAAGAATTCTATTAAAAAAACAAAAACAAAACATTCATACTTGTCTGTAGGATTCATTTCCCCAAATCAACTTGCCATATTCTTCAGTATTATCACTTATGAATTCATTGATGATATGATCTGTGGTTAACAGGCTAACCAATGAATATTCATAACAGTGTAAATATACAATTAATATTGAATACATTGAACCATGAAACATTAGATTTGATGAATAAGGCAATAAATAAATAAATAAATAAAATCCTAATCATTCAAATACTTTGATAAGTATCATAGATATCAGTGTTTGTGATACATTGCGATTGGATCATTGAATGTGACCAATAATAAAACCGAACTTTTTTGTTGTTGTTGTTGTTGTTGCAGTAAATCAATAATTTTGCACCAAATAAATTCATCATTAACAGTGATTTATTCGAAAATGTATAAAAAAAGTTGTTTGTAGAGACAATAGTCCAGAAATGAATACCTTCATATAGTTCAGTTATGTTGTAAGAGAGTAGGATTGATGTCATAGTAAAAGTAAGAGTGAGGGTTATAGTTATTATTATGAGGAGTTAGTTTTTGTTGGTAAAGTTATTGTATTGTGTAAGCCTAATTATATAATCTTGATATAGATTGATGTTAACGAAGTTCCCTAAGTATCAAAGAGAGTTGATTAGAATTAAAATCCCATTACTAACAACAGTGACTTGACATATATTACTTTGTTTATCAACGACACTGATTTGGTTAACTTTAATGAATTTCAATGTATATTGTAATGTAACAAATTCTTGTGCTTTCCATAATAATTCCTTCTTTTCCCTCAAATTTCTAACTTCTATAGTGTATGCGCACTGCTGAGGAGTCCCATACTAGGACGAAACGGCCGTCCAGTGCTTCCAGGTTTTCCATGGTGGTCTAGCTTCAATTGACTCATGATTTCAACTTGTGAAATTTCTAAAACTCTCCACAAAAAAGCCCATTCTGATATAGTGTATTTATTTAACTTCATAAATTTCATGCATAATGTTACATTCGTGACGAGATCATTCGAAGTGTATTACACAAGTAAAACTGGATTTTGGGATCACCTATGTCTTCTCATCATACTTTTAAAATTTGTTAAAGTAATTGGTAATGCTAAATTTGTAAGAGAATACTCATTCTGTTGACGTTCATTGAATAGCTAGGTGAGCTTATCATCCTGAGATTGGAAATACATCTGAATAGGTGAAGCTATACTTTTACGTATCTTAAACTCGGAAACCTACCACAGTTAGTTTCACAAACTACAATCAGAGTTTTAAAAGCTTCTTGATATTGAGAAAAATACGGTGAAACGGTGAACAAATCATCTGAACTTGATATCTATAAATCATCGATGCTATCGAAAACTCGTGTAGTCTGTCATATGAAGTTTATAGGTTTTTCAGTTTACCGGCAACTAAAACAAAGGATTTTACTGAATAAAAGGTCAAGTCTCGTACAAATGACGATAATCAAAATCCATTTCATATAAACCTAGACAAGTATGGTACTTGAATATTACATGGCATCTAGTTTCTGATGTTTCCATAGTCCATTTCCATATATTGCTTACTAATCATTAACACTGTGCCAAAGTTAACCGAATGATTAATATTCAACATTTTAGGGGTACACACCCATACAGGTAATTAAATGACGGTATATTTAAATTAATCATTAACTCTAAGTTCAAATATTCAATTACATTTCGTTTCATAAACTGCAAGTCTGTATACTCCGATCTCGTCGACTTTGATGAGTTTACGTTGACAATCTTCCATCTAAACTATCGTTTACTTTCCATTTATCACTTCTGATTTGAACCGATTAAAATAACTCACATTTAATTATTGAATAAACAGTCATTCAGTGTAGAGCATGTCCGTTTATAAATACTAATGATTGGAATGTGAAAGGGAAAGTATAAGTTTAATGGAGATAAGAATTAAATGCACGCAATATTATGAAGATAATGAAATCATCTGAATATTGAATGTAATCTTTGTTAACTAGTTAAAATAAATCTGTTCATTTTACATGATATAATCAGAATGGGTTTTGTGGAGAGTTTTAGAAATTTCACAAGTTGAAATCATGAGTCAGTTGGATGCCGGCTCAGTGGTCTAGTGGTTAAGTGCTCGCGCGCGAAGCCAGTGGATCCTGGGTTCGAGCCCCGCGTGGTGCGGGATCGTGGATGCGCACTGCTGAGCACCATATCAGGACAAAACGGCCGTCCAGGTTTTCAATGGTGGTCTAGCTTCAACTGACTCATGATTCCAACTTGTGACATATCTAATCGATCATTTTCCTAGTAGGAATAATCAACATAAAAGTCTTCTTATTATATATTGAACACGAAGATTCATATGATGGAAAGAAAAGACAAAATTCGATTGATTTATACATTATGAGTTTTGTTCAACATTAATTCACTTTTCATTCAATGTGATGATGATGATAATGATTCAGTGTAGTATTCGGTTTCGTTTCCCGTATGATATTTTCTTCTATATAATATACGATATTCTTGTATTAAAAATTAATATGAACTATGCTGAGCATATGATTTGTTATAACTGAGTATTTTTTATGTACATAATTTCATCCTAATTATTAATCTGTGTGTACAATCAATATATAAATGAGTGTATTTTTGATTAGGATCGTCATCGTCGTCATGTTTTGGGGGTTAATAAATATCCAGTTATACCAGTCTTTGTGTTCTTACTTTCGCGTCGTGATAATTTCAGGGCACCGTTAAAACGTTAAAGCCGTTCGAATCTGCCCGCCCTTTCGTTTCAACGACCTTGAACGGCCTGACAAGAGGCGGTCATTCCGTATTTCAATAGCCGTCGGTTTGTTCGGTTGCATGCGTATCAAGTTTTTTGATATATGTCATGTTTTGCTGCATTAAAAAGCACAAAATAACTACCAAAAGCATTAATTTAGTGTTTTGTGTTTTGTAGTGTACACGTTGGCTCTGTTATTGCTTCGTAAATTGATCTGTGATCCCAACTGCTGTAGAAACCTCAAAGAAATGTCAAGTCACCGGTAAATCTTGAGTATTTGTAGTAATTCCTTAGGTTATTATTGTTTCAAAGAATAACTTTTTTATAATTAATGACTTCTGTTTGTAGTGCTTCATGCTCAAGTGACATTTCAGTCGACCTTAGCGATGCCTTTCAAAGTATGATACTGAACAAACGTTTCGCATGCTGGGATGACTTTGGGATCGCGATAAAAAAGTTCTAAAATGGTATTGAAGAGTAATTTTATCCCTTCTCATACTAAGTATATTCATTACATCCACATAGAAAGTAAGTTGCTGAAGGATGCCAGGTTCAAATACATGTTTGCTACGTTTCACTGTACATTCGGTCATAAGCGCAATTCGGAAGGTTTGAAAGTGAATCAAAAATCGTGAGAAGTTTAACCAATATCTATCGTTTAAGGTTTAAATTCCTTAATTGCCAATCAAAGTTCCGTGTAAGAATTCAGGAGCAAGGGTATGTCATCAAATCCTACAAGATGAAAACGGCGACTGCGGACAGCATTAGGAAGTGGATGTAAGCACTTATGAGTGCAATTATAGAATACTTGTTACGTGTTGATATCCTTATCACCACATGCTACTGGCATATGTTAAAAGACGAACTATTACAGGTAAGCTTAATTAATTATAAAATATAAACTGTATAGCTCATCAACTTCTTAGGCATTACAGGAGATGGAGGCTACATATTATGCAGAACTTCCAAAATAACACAAAAATTGCATTACCGAGACGGAATGATGAGTATATAAGGATTGTACGACGCCAAAGAATTTACAGGCATCACATCATTCGCGACGGAAGTTGAGAAACAAAGTCAACAGTTATTATTAAACAATTATCAATAACAACTAGTAAACTTGTTTTTCCGCTTCAGTATTAATGATGATTCAATAAACTTTTGCATAATTGTTATTTTCCTCTTATTCCTACTTTCATGGAGATGAGTGCCAATAATGTTCACGAGTGTCTGTAAGAATTAAAAAGGAATAAGTGACGCTACTTCCACGTAAAGTCTCACAGATTAGGCACCCACATGACATATTTACCGTCGTCGGATTACGTTTATTATCAAATTAGTATCCGTACCTAAGTAGACTATAATTTCATGTGATTAGTTCTGCTTATGAATGTAAATAAAACCAGAAGAAATATTGATGCAGAATAATATGAATTAATTATATTCCGCGGTTTCTCGTCAGCTGCTTACAACCAAATACGTAATAGGATTTAACATTGATGTATGAAACAATTGACATAACTGAATGTAAAGAATTGGAATAACGTAGGTTACCAATAATAACTATATGCATAGGTATATATGCAGTAACACGTCAGAGGTTATTTGTTTTTAGAATCAAGGTTGGGTGGTGTAATAATCCAGTGGAGTTCACAGGGAGATAAGTGGTGTGAAAATTTTATACGTAATAAAGGATCAGTGCATTTAAAAACTGATAAGTGGGCGAGTGTGAGTGACAGGGTGGTTTAAGAAATCGGTAACTAAATATGAAAAAATAAAATGAATGATTATGTAACCCATCTTAGATTACTTGTTCATTCCATGAATTATAATAAATTCATATTATTCTGCATCAATATTTGGTCTGGCATCATATAGACTATTCTGTACATACCTACAGGATTTCTAATGTAAAACACTGAGTATAGTTGGTATATTTACATTTAAATAATTCACTAGGTGATTCACTAGGTGAATGAAAATGTCAGTAGGCAATATAGAACACAGTTATCATAAACTTGTAAACTGATTTTCCACATGATCTTCCATAATCACAAATTCCATCAGTTGTACACCGACGTAAACATTGTCACAAAGCTTTGAGGATCTAAATAGCTTCATACAATTCTGAAAAACAAAAAAAATCAGTCGTGAAACAAACAGTTAAACTTAGTTACCAGTATCACATTCAATAAGTTAATCAAACAGCAGGTAACAGAATGTACCTATAAGTATCCTATTTGCAAACAGTGCTATTCATCAGAGATTTCGGATTTCGTTAATAGAAATTCCTCGGTAATCTGTAGAACAAACACATACAAGCATCGTCCGACTTATGAGGGAAATGTGACTAATTAATGTGGCATAAAGGAGATTTGAG